GAGCCACAACTCTTCACCGGGTCTCTGATCTGATTTTTTTCAGGGCTTCCTGTGAGCGGGGTTGGGCGTGTTGGGGCCGTGTCGCTTCCCACGCGCATTCTGCCATCGACCTCGCCTTCCTGGCGCCCTTCGCCAAGGTGTGGCGGGCTGCGGCGGCTGCTTGGGGCTGGGATCTCCCTCCCCCCCTGGAGGCGTGGCGCGCCTCGCTCCTCGATTCGATTGTCTCCTGGTTTAACAAAGCCTCTCGGTGGCAAGGCCAGTCAGACCTTCGGATCTTTCGAGTTCTGGTCCAGCCTGGTCCTCCTCCTCCTCCTCCTCCTGCTCAATTTCCTGCTCGACCGTCCCCTCCTTTTTCTTTTCTAATGTGCAAGGTCCTCCGAGATCCAGCCAGCGCGCAACGGGGTGGGGTGGGTGAGGGGTGGAGGGGTGGGATGTCAGGTATCGCGCGGACGCTCCTAGCTTGGCCTCCGCCCTTTGGCCCCTCCTCCTCCCCTCTCCCTCCCTCCCTCCCCTCCTCCCTCCTCCCCTCCCCTTTCCCTGCTCCCGCATCCCGCAGAGCCGCCTGGTCGCACCACCACAGGGCCCTCGCTCCTTCTCCAGACATCCGATGTCCCACTTTTCCACACGGCCCCCCAGGAGATCCCAACCTTTTCCCGATGACCATGCCCCCCTCCCGAGCAGCTTCTTGAAAGTCCCAGAGCCCGGCGAGAGCCCCCAGAGGCCGAAGACAGGGACTTGCATTCGCCGTGCTTTCTCCAAGGCGTTGGATGGCTTCCTCTGGGTCCACAACTCGGGCCTCTGGCGGCCGGTCGGGGCGATCCCAACCCTCCGGGAACGCTCTCGACCGTGCGCGCTGCTGGAAGGCATTTCGAAACGAGATAACCGCCAACACAGATGGGCCTGTTTTCCACTACCACCACCACCACCACCACCATACGCTGGAGGGGGGAAGGAGGAGGAGGACGGGGAGGAGGAGGAGGAGGAGGAGGAGGAGGAGGAGGAGGAGGAGGACCCCCTCCCCCTCCAACTTATGGTGGTGGTGGTGGTGGTGGTGGTGGTGGTGGTGGTGGTGGTGGAAAACAGGCCCATCAAACACAGCCAAGACGCCGGAACAAGGACCGCTCCGGGCTCAGGAGGGGCTCGGGCGTTCGGGTCGTTCCTCGGGCTTGCGTCCTGGAGCCCGTCAGTGGCCCAGGTCCGCCGTGGCCAGGAAGTCCCCTTCGTTCCCTATTTTTGCATTCCTTCTGGCAGCCCGATGATTGTAATTCAGGGAGGATCGTCTGGAAACCACTCGGCGGCCACGGCGGCTCGTCGCCGCCCAGGCGCGTCGGCATTCGTTGCGCGGCGCCCCAGTGGCCCCACGGGAAAAACCGCGCCCCTCGCCGTCGGCGTCGCCAGTCGCCGTCGCGGCCGCCGTCGCCCTCCTCGTCGTCGTCGTCGCCGTTGCCGTCGTCGTCGTCGTCGCCGCCGTCGTTCGAGGCGGGAACTTCTACATGACCACCGCCTGGAGGATCAACTTTCGGAGACCTCGGCAGGCGGTGGATACGGATATACTCGGGCCCCCGGGGGCCAAAATATGCCCATGTCCACCGCCTGCTGGGGCACCAGGACATCGGTTCCCAGGCAGTGAGTATGGATACCCTGCCTCGCACGTCGCCCCCCCCCCTCCTCCTCCTCGTCCTCGTCGTTGTCGAGGCACGCACGTCGACTTCCCCCTCCTCCGCGTCCTCGTCGTCGTCGTCGCTCGCACGTCGCCCTCCCCCTCCTCCCCCCCTCCTCCTCCTCCTCGTCCTCGTCGTCGTCGCCGCCGCCCGCCGTGCCCCCGGAGGCCGCGCCCTGGCACGTCGCCGCAGGTCGGCACGCGGAGCTCCCGCGGCAGCCCCCTCGGCGCCCCCGGGCGCGCCCCGCCGCCGCCGTCGCCGTCGCCGTCGCCGTCGCCGTCGCCGTCGCCGGCGCCGTCGCCGTCGCCGTCGCCGTCGCCGTCGCCGTCGTCGTCGTCGTCGTCGTCGTCGTCGTCGTCGTCGCCGTCGCCGTCGTCCTCCTCCTCCTCATCCACATTCCTCCCAGACGCGTCCTGCCTCCCCTTCCGCTCTTGGCAGACGCTGCTGCCGATGCTCCTCCTCCGGCCTTAGCCCGGTTTTCTGGTGGGATGGCCGCTGTCCCTGTACTTATTGCACATCGCAGTCCTCCAATCTATTCTCGATGACCCGTGTATGACTCCATCGCAAGCATCTCTGCAGCAAATGGGGGGATAGGTATAGATTTATAAGGCAACGCCCCATCCCGCCAACAAAATTCAGCTTACTTACATTTTCTGTGCATGTTCACTCGTCCTTTTGGAAGACGCCGTCAAATGCCGTATTCAGCTGTCTCATGGATGTTCCGTGTCGGCGGAAGCATTTTGTTCCAGTATTGTTGAATGCCCATGCTGTCACAGGGTGGTTTGCTTTGCTGTCACAGCATCATCGACCCGATACAAAAGGATCTTGATGAGGAGCGGGCTGGGTCATACCGGCATGCATCAAACATACAGTATCCCGGGGCATTCGAATACGATTAACGGTATAATCGTGATTTGTTGTTCTCGCACGTCTGCGCGGGCTTCTGGCAGTTCATGTTTATGCAGTTGCTTGTTCCTCTAGATGTGCTTTGGAACCCTTGCTCAAGCTTCGGATTCGTGAGGGGAGGCCTGCCGATTGCCTTTTTTGGACAGTGGTGGGCAGTCCGACGCAGACCACACGGCGCCCCAGCCAGCTCCATCTTTAAAAGACAATGGTCGGGGAACAAACCATCACACAAACATGCAAACTCGGCGCTCCGCGCGGATTCCTCGGATTGGCGCGGGGGCCCCCTTGAGGCGCCTCCGGCGCCCCTGCGCCGATCCGAGCCATCCGTGCGGACCTCCGAGTTTTTACGCTTACGCTATTGTTTGTGCCCTCACGGGGAGACACGAGGGCTCGCCGAAGCCTGCCGATGGCGATGGCCGCCGAGGGCCTCCGAGTGCGCGGCCGAGTGCGCGCAGGGAGGGCCGCCGAGGGCCGCCAGAGGGCCCGGTGGAGGTCTCGGGGGGTCTCCGGCGGCCGCCGAGGGCCCTCGGAGTGCGCGCCGAGTGGCCGCCGAGTGGCCGCCGAGTGGCCGCCGAGTGCCGCCGAGGGCCACGACGACGACGACGAGGACGACGACGAAAACGAGGAGGAGGACGACGACGACGACGAGGAGGAGGAGGGGGAATGGGAGGACGACGACGACGACGACGACGACGACGACGACGACGACGACGACGACGACGACGACGACGACGACGACGACGACGACGGTGGGTAGCAGCTGCCGCCGCAGCCGCCGCCGCCGGACTCCGCGCCATGGCCGCCAATGGCCGTCGGGTCTCTTGAGTTGCCCGGTGGCCTCCAGAATCGGATATGCCCGAACGAAGGCACAAGTGTCGAGCGTCGATCCGAAGGTCCCCGATCCCCGACGAGTAGGAACGCCGCAGAAGCACGTTAGAAGGCGTCGGACCTCGACCCTCGAGCCCCCGAGCCCCGCGGGTTCGCCGATGGCGCCCGGGGGGGAGATTCCAGGCCTCCCGGATGGGGTCCGAGCAGATGGGGTCGGAGGGTCGCGCCGCATCGCCGATGCCCCGGCGGTGCAACTCGACGTGGAGTCCGACTTTCTCCGCGCCGGCGTCGGCGACGCGTCGGCGATGCACCGGCGACGCGGCGCGATCCCTCCCGCCTCGCGAGCGTGCTGGCTCGCCTCGGGTGCACGTCGCCCTGCCAGCGCCCGTGGCTGGCAGCCGACTCCAGGCGCGCAGCCTCGCGTCTGGGGCGCGCGTCGCGCTGCCACCGATCCTGGCTGCGCGGGCCCCATCCGGGAGGCCTCTGCAGATTCAGGAGCGAAAGAAGGACGTACACGCACATGAATCCACGCTGGTTTCAAGATTTCGCATTGCGCGAATGTTCGTATCACGCGGCCGGTCTCGCGGGTCAAGGGGCCGTGTTCATGTACATAGCTGGGTGCGTACGTCCTTTGTGGGCTCCCAATTGATGGGGCTCCCCAGGAGGGCGCGAGATCCTCGAGAGGGGGGGGCCGAAGGGGTCCCGCGGAGGTCGGGCGCAGGAAGAGGGGGGCAGGGGGGGGAGGAGGAGGGAGGAGGAGAGAGGAGGAGGGAAAAGGGGGAGGAGGAAGAGGAGAAGAAGGAGGAGGGAGGAGGAGGAAGGAGGAGGAGGACCAGTATAAACCCAAGACTCTTCAACGATGTTGGAATACAACCTGCCTCCAAGCTCCTGCTTCATGGGACCCTACAAGGGTTCATGCCCACTGAGGGAATTGCCCCGTTGGGCGGCAAATGTGTGAAAATCCTGCAGCGTGCCAAAACACCATACGCTACGAGTTAACTTCACTGTTGCGTCTTGGCGATCCTGAATCGTGCCAGAACGCTCGTTCTGGACTTCGACACCGCGAATCAACGTAATTGTTGCGCCCTGACAATTCTCTGTCGTTCCAACACAATTTCTGGTACATCTACCATGAGAGTCGATGAATCCGTTTCTAAGTTTTAGAAAGAAGGTGCGCGGCTCTCAAGCGAGAGCCACATATTGAAAATTAACCACCCTCAGTTCGTGAAACTCTTGCAAATGTTGAGCGGCGCTGAGGCGAGAGCCACATTTTGAAAACGACCCGCCCTGAATCCGTGAAGCCTTCGTGCATTTTCTAAAACGACTGTGCGCGGCGCTATGGCGAGAGCCACATTTTGAAAACGGCCCGCCCTCCATCTGTGAAGCTATTGCGTATGTTTTTAAACGAATTTGCGCGGCGGTTAGGCGAGAGCCACATGATGAAAACCACCCGCTCTCAATCCGTGAAGGTTTTGCAAGGTTTTATCAGAACGAATGTGCGCGACTTTAAGGCGAGAGCCACGTTTTGAAAACCACACGCCCTCAATCCGTGAAACCCTTGGAACTGTATAAACGAATTTGCGCGGCGCTCACGCGAGAGCCACATTTTGAAAACGACCCGCCCTCAATCCGTAAAGTTCTTGCAGCGCCACTCCAAGGCGAGAGCCACATTTTGAAAACCATCCGCCCTTCATCTGCGAAGCTGTTGCCAGTTTTCGATCTCCAGGTTCATATGTGTAAGGAAATCTCCGGCGAAACGCCCGGCCCGCCTTTCCGACTGGCCTCGGGGTGCAACAGGGAGGAGTTCTTCATAAAGACAGGAATGGAGGATAATAATGAGACTAATTATACTGATCACAATATTCAAACTACGAGGAAAAAGGATAAGAAGGAGAAGAAGAACAATCAGAAACAACATGGAGAAGCAGAAATTACCCCAGTGCGACCCTACCTAGAAATTGGAGCCCCTAGGAAAGCAGCATTAGTTGCTATGCTATGCTATGCTATGCTATGACATGCTATGCTGCGCTATGCTATGCTATACACTGCTATGCTTTGCTATGCTATGCTATGACATGATATGCTAAGCTGTGTCATGTCATGCTGCGCTGTGTTATGCTAAGCCATGCTATGCTATGCTATGCTAGGCTGCGCTATGCTATGCTATGCTATGACATGCTGCGCTATGTTATGCTATGGTATGCTATACTTGGCTATGATATGCTATGCTATGCTATGCTAATGCAGCGCTGCGCTATGCTAAGCTAAGCTAAGCTAAGCTAAACTAACCCTCTAGGCAGAGCCTAGGTAGGGAATTACACCCATGCTAATGCTATGCTGCGCTATGCTATGCTATGCTATGCTGGGCTATGCTATGATGTGCTGTGCTGCGCTATGCTATGCTACGCTATGCCATGCTATGCTGTGCTCTGCTATGCTAAAGCTCAGCGAAGCTAAGACGAAGGTAAGCTAAGCTAAGATACACCTGGGCTCATATGAAGCTAAGCTAAACGAAGATGCAATCAGCTAAGCTAAGATGATATAAGCAACGCTAAGCTAAGGGAACGTCACTGGGGGAACCGCGGAGCGGATGCCGGGGGAACCGCCCGGGGCGAGGAACACTGCCCGGTCCTTTAAGCACACCGGGTAAGAACCCTTCTAGGCAGAGCCTAGGTAGGGAAGAGACAAAGAAAGAGACAGGAGAAGAAGAGCAGGACCGTCCGAAAGCCTCGATCCTCGACAACCCGTGGCCCCCCGACGAGGGCGCCGCGCCCTGGCACGTCGCTGGGCGCCGTGCGGTGCGCCCCGCTGCTGTCGCGGGCGGAGCTGGAGAGGGCGCGGCGGGCGCTGCAGGAGCGAGACGACGACGACGACGACGACGACGACGACGACGACGACGACGACGACGACGACGACGACGACGGCGGCGGCGGCGGCGGCGGCGGCGGCGGCGACGGCGACGGCGACGGCGACGGCGACGGCGACGGCGACGACCTCCCCCTCCTGCCTCCTCCTCCTCTTGCCTCCTCCTCCTGCCTCCTTCCACTGCTTCCTTCCCTCCTGCCCCCTCCTCCCCCTCCTGCCTCCTCCTCCTCTCTACTCCTCCCTCCTCTCTCCTGCTCTCTCTTCCTCTCTGCTCCTCTCTCCTCCTCCCTCCTCTCTCCTCCACCACCTCCTGCGGCGGCGCCAGAGGCGCCGCCAATGGGGCTCAGCGCCGATCCAGTAGATCCGCGCGGACCTTGGCATTTTCGTGTTTATGCAGTTTTTCTTGTTCGAGAAGGATGCCGACACCGTGGCTTTCCTAGCCGCCACGGCCGGATTCGCTTGGCAGTTCTGGTCAGGACGCGCTTCCCTGGAGCAGTCCAGAGAGTGCCCCTCGAAGGCCTTGTGCCGAGGATCGGTGCGTACGCCGTCCTGGCTCGGCCAGGGAGGCGTGAGCCCCAAGCCTGGGCCCGGGCTCTGCCCGGCCAGGCTCGGTGAGGTGGCCAGTTGACGCGCCTCCGAGGGCCTGGAGGGGCGGGAGCGAGCCCTGGCTCTTCACCTTCCACGCCGTCCGACCAGCAGGTGGCTGATCCAGTGGTCTTCTCGAGGGAGGGAGGGCGGCAGGAACACGCTTTTTCGCAGCTCAGGAGTGGGGTGGATGGAGGAGGATGGCGGAGCGGGGTTGGCGGAGACTGATACTGAGCAGGGTGTCGCACGTCGTCGGTCCCCCCTTGGCAGCCATCGGTGCCTTTCGGGGAGACGGGGCCAGGACCGCGCGCCCAGGATCGAGCATCGAGGAGGGCTGTGGGATCCGGGATCGGAGGGCGAGGAGCGAGGACCCAGGATCGAGGATCGGGGATCGAGGATCGAAGGTCGAGGATCGAAGGTCGAGGATCGAGGATCGAGGATCGTGGATCGAGGGTCGAGGATCGGGGGTCGAGGATCGAGGACCTGCAGGGTCGGGGATCGCGGGCGGCTGCGGACCCGTGGCCACGACGTAGGGGGTCGAGGATCGGGGGCCCTGGGATCGAGGGTCGAGGAGGCATCCGGGGTTCGAGGGGTGCTTTCGTCGAGGACAGAATAGCCCCTGACCCTAACGAAGGATTGCAAAAAAAGAAGGATTGCAAACAAAACGAAGGTTTTTTTGCAATCCTTCGTGCAAAAAAAGTTTTTTTTTGCAATCCTTCGAAGACGTGGCCTCTCCTATATGTCCCCGCCTTTTGCATTATAGGGGGTCACGGATCTTGGCGGCCTGCTTCGATGCACCCGCAGGAAAGCTTTCCCCCCTATCCCCAATGTTTCTGGCCCTTCCAACTCGGGACGGATCTTGGCGGCTCGGTTCGATGCACTTTGCAGAAAGCTCTCCCCTGTCCCTAGTGTTTCTGGCCCTCCTCACTCGGGTCCTCTCCCAAAGGGTTATCAGAGGCCAGCAACATCTGTACACGTACGCGGTTAGCTTCCCCTGGAGTGCAAGTAAACGCGGACGTTCGTGCAGGCAAGACCGCGGAGGGCGTACATGTACATATGTCGTTGCTCGCCCACAAAGGGTTTGGGGCCCTTTAGTTGCAAGTCATGCCCGCCCCCCACCCTCGGGAGTCGGGAGGCTCTGGCGGTGCTCGTGCCCGGGGGCCGCCCGCGCGGGCCCACCATTGCCGAGTCGGCGGCTCCGGGCCTCTCCTTTCCCTCGTCCTCCTCGTCCCTCTCGCCCTCGCCCCTCCTCGCCCCCCTCGTCCTCCTCGTCCTCCTCGCCCTCGCCCCTCCTCGTCCTCCTCGTCCTCCTCGTCCTCGTCCTCCTCGCCGTCCTCCATCCTCTCACCCTGCCCGTCCTGCTCCGCGGCCGTGGCTCCTCGTCCGCCCGCCCTTTCGTGCTCAGTAGCCGGCGCGGCCCGCCTGCTCTGCAGGCGCGCTTGCGACCGCCAGCGCCGCCGACAGGAGCCGTTTCTTTCTGTGGCTCATGGAGGTTTTCGGGGCCTCCTGCAGGTCTTCGTGGGCCCTATGGAAGTACGGGGGGGAGTTGTGTGTGTGTGTGTGTGGAGATTTTTATTTTTTCGGTTTCGATTTTTGTTGCGGGGTCCTCTCGAGGTCTTCGGGGGCCTTCGGGAGGTCTTCTCGGGCCTTCGGGAGATATTCGGAAGCTTCAAGAGGGTTTCAAGACTTCCACAATTTAGCCAGGACCCCCGCTCCCGCCTGAGACTTCCTCGCGTTTTACTCAGGAGTCGCGCTCTCGCTTGGAATTACAATTTATTCAGGAATCGCTTTCTCGGCGCTCTGGAGTCGCGCTCTCACTGGAGACTTGCTTGCACTTTATTCAAGAATCGCGCTCTTGCGCGGGAATTTCCGCACTTTACTCAAGCGCCGCGCTCCCGACACTCAGGCACCCAGGAGTCGCGCTCACGCTTATGACTCTCTCGCAGCTTACTTAGGAATCGGGATCTCGCTGCCCTTCGTGGCCCCGTTGCAGCCCTTCGTGGCCCCCTCGCTGCCCCTCGTGGCCCCGTTGCAGCCCTTCGTGGCCCCCTCGCTGCCCTTCGTGGCCCCGTTGCAGCCCTTCGTGGCCCCCTCGCTGCCCTTCGTGGCCCCGTTGCAGCCCTTCGTGGCCCCCTCGCTGCCCTTCGTGGCCCCATGTATGTATGCCCTTCGTGGCCCTCGCTCGTTTGCGCCTGTCGTGGCCTCATATGCATTCGTTTCGTCGCCCCGTTGCAGCCCTTCGTGGCCCCCTCGCTGCCTTTCGTGACCCCGTTGCTGCCCTCAGTGGCCCCGTCCTTGCCCTCTGCGGCTCAATATTCGTATGCTCTTCGTGGCCCCCGCTCGTTCACGCCGGTTGTGGCCCCATACGCATACCCTTTTTGGCCCAGCTGTCGCCTTTGGGGGCCCCCTAGCTGTCCTACGTGGCCCCGTTGCTAACCTCAGTGGCCCCGTCGTTGCTTTCTGTGGCCCCGCATTATCTGCCCTTCGTGGCCCACGCTCGTTCGCGCCTTCCGTGGTTGCATGCGCGTGCCCCTCGTGGCCCCGCTGTCGCCCTTCGTGGCCCCGTTCCTGCCCTTGGTGGCCCCGCTGTCGCTCCAGCTCTCGCACTTGCTCTCGCTTTCGCTTTCGCGCCTCGTCGTCGTCGTCGTCGCCGTCGTCGTCGCCGTCGTCGTCGTCGTCCTCGTGGTCGGTCCCCTGACTGTCCCTCTTGGGGTCGGGTTGCCGCCGATCAGCGCTGCCGCCGGCCAGGCCGACGGTCCGCGGCCGCCCCGCCGCTTGCCGGGGCCTGGCTTGCAGGGAAGACAGGGACGGAGGTATACCCCCCAAAAGGGGTTCGACCGAAGACGAAGAGGGCGGGTATCGAGGGTTTGGGCAATACGCGTTATTGGGCACTCGAGCAGATAAGGGCGAGCCGTCTCAAACTGAGCGTTGAACTCTCATTCTTGAAGAATAAATACCTTGTGACGTACCCAACCCACTTGTATCAATGGAAACGAGGAGTTGGCCGAAACTTGCATGGACAATCAACTCGATGTGTAAGCTACTTGGGACACGCGCCTATGGCATGATGCGCAGGAGAACCATACAAGAACGAGGGCGACAGCTACAGGCTCGAAGAGGACATGGGGAGTCGGGAACGCAGAGCAGGAGAAACACGTGCGGGAAACCGAACCATCAGCACGGCAGCAGCAGAGGGACGGTGACTGCAGGAGGAGAACAAGGACGAACGCGGCGTCTAATTTGAGTCTGCGGTGGGTACCCACTGTGCTGGGCCCCTCAGCAGCCCTCGAAAGTGGCGACAGTTTCACAGATCGCAGCCCCCCAGGGATGGCGAGGTCTAATTTGAGTCTGCGGTGGGTACCCACTGTGCTGGGCCCCTCAGCAGCCCTCGAATGGATTCCACAGATCGCAGCCCCCCAGGGATGGCGAGGTCTAATTTGAGTCTGCGGTGGGTACCCAGTGCTGGGCCCCTCAGCAGCCCTCGAAAGTGGAGAGAATTTCACAGATCGCAGCCCCCCAGGGATGGCGAGGTCTAATTTGAGTCTGCGGTGGGTACCCACTGTGCTGGGCCCCTCAGCAGCCCTCGAAAGTGGCGACAGTTTCACAGATCGCAGCCCCCCAGGGATGGCGAGGTCAATTTGAGTCTGCGGTGGGTACCCACTGTGCTGGGCCCCCAGCAGCCCTCGAAAGTGGCGACAGTTTCACAGATCGCAGCCCCCCAGGGATGGCGAGGTCTAATTTGAGTCTGCGGTGGGTACCCACTGTGCTGGGCCCCCCAGCAGCCTCGAAAGTGGCGACAGTTTCACAGATCGCAGCCCCCCAGGGATGGCGAGGTCTAATTTGAGTCCGCGGTGGGTACCCACTGTGCTGGGCCCCCCAGCAGCCTCGAAAGTGGCGACAGTTTCACAGATCGCAGCCCCCCAGGGATGGCGAGGTCTAATTTGAGTCCGCGTGGGTACCCACTGTGCTGGGCCCCCCAGCAGGCCTCGAAAGTGGCGACAGTTTCACAGATCGCAGCCCCCCAGGGATGGCGAGGTCTAATTTGAGTCCGGTGGGTACCCACTGTGCTGGGCCCCCCAGCAGCCCTCGAAAGTGGCGACAGTTTCACAGATCGCAGCCCCCCAGGGATGGCGAGGTCTAATTTGAGTCTGCGGTGGGTACCCACTGTGCTGGGCCCCCAGCAGGCCTCGAAAGTGGCGACAGTTTCACAGATCGCAGCCCCCCAGGGATGGCGAGGTCTAATTTGAGTCTGCGGTGGGTACCCACTGTGCTGGGCCCCCCAGCAGCCTTCGAAAGTGGCGACAGTTTCACAGATCGCAGCCCCCCAGGGATGGCGAGGTCAAATTTGAGTTTGCGGTGGGTACCCACTGTGCTGGGCCCCTCAGCAGCCTTCGAAAGTGGCG